TATTGTACGATCTCTGATGCTTGACAAACTTTTTCGAGAAGAAAGATACGGGGCGATAAATTTAATCCTTCTGCTGTGTCAGTACAGCTCCAGCCCCCACATCACTGGCATTTACGAACAATGCAAACGGTGCTCCAAAATCCGGCGACACTAACTCAGGTGCCCTAGTCGCCTAGGGCGCCTAATCTCTTGGTTTTCTCAAACGCCTCCTGTGCTATTCCGTTCCATTCCCATTTCTTATTCTTAGACAACAAACTTGTCATAGGGATGGTTACCGTGGAAAAATTCTTACAAAATTTCCTGTAATATCCGATCATACCTAAGTATCTTAACAACTCTTTCTTCACTTTGGGTACCGGGAAGTTACCGATGGCTTCAACTTTCGTTCTCACTCGAGCAACCTCACCTTGCCCTACCACATATCCTAGGTATTCTAGCGGGCTGTCCCAAACTCAATCTTCGCCAAGTTAATTGTTATGTTGGCCTTCTCTAACCGATTTGTTCCGCAGGTTAGTCTGCTTACGTGCTCTCTCCAGGAGAGAAATACCACAATGTCGTCGACGTATACTGCACAATCCATTGCACCTTGCAACACCTGGTTCACAACTCGTTGGAAATATGAGCTTGCTCTCAGTGACCCAAATTCTCTCACACCTTGTCTAGACTGTCCATGTCGGACACCTTTGCTTCATCAGCCCTCTCTACTTACAGTTTCCTCCCTCTGTTTCTTCTTCTTGCATTCCACACGTCAAGAGTTACACATTTATTGTCTGTATCTCATCTGTCGTCCTCATACTTCGGTTCATCATCCTCATGCTTCAGTCTGTCGCCATCATACTTTAGTCTCTCATTATCATACTCCAGTTTCCTGTCCTCACGCTTCTATCTACCGCAATCATACTTCTGTCTCTTGTCATTATGCATTGTGCACATTGTGCACTACTGGCAGTTATGGTTCACATTGTGCACTTCTTGGGCGATGGTTCACATTGTGCACTTCTTGGGCGATGGTTCACATTGTGCATTACTGGGGTGATGGTTCACATTGTGCACTACTGGGGTGTTGGTTCACATTGTGCACTACTGGGGTGACGGTTCACATTGATCACTACTGGGGTGATGGTTCACATTGATCACTACTGGGGCTATGGTTCACATTGTGCACTACTGGGGTGATGGTTCACATTGTGCACTACTGGGGTGTTGGTTCACATTGTGCACTACTGGGGTGATGGTTCACATTGTGCACTACTGGGGTGATGGTTCACATTGTGCACTACTGGGGTGATGGTTCACATTGTGCACTACTGGGGTGATGGTTCACATTGTGCACTACTGGGGTGTTGGTTCACATTGTGCACTACTGGGGTGATGGTTTACATTGTGCACTACTGGGGTGTTGGTTCACATTGTGCACTACTGGGGTGATGGTTCACATTGTGCACTACTGGGGTGTTGGTTCACATTGTGCACTACTGGGGTGATGGTTTACATTGTGCACTACTGGGGTGTTGGTTCACATTGTGCACTACTGCCGGTGATGGTTCACATTGTGCACTACTTAGGCGATGGTTTACATTGTGCATTACTGGGGTGACGGTTCACATTGTGCACTACTGGGGTGACGGTTCACATTGTGCACTACTTAGGCGATGGTTTACATTGTGCATTACTGGGGCGATGGTTCGCAATGTGCACTACTGGGGTGAGAGTTCAAATTGTGCACTATTTGGGCGATGGGCCACATTGTGCACTACTGGGCGATGATTCACATTGTGCGCTACTGGGGTGATGGTTCACATTATTCACCACTGGGGTGATGGTTCACATTGTGCACCACTTGGGTGATGGTTCACATTGATCACTACTGGGGCGATGATTCACATTGCACTACTGGAGCGATGGTTCACATTTTTCACTTCTGAGGTGATGGTTTACATTGTGCCCTATTAGGGGGATGGTTCACATTGTGAACTACTGGGGGTGATACCTTGACGTTATCTTGAGGTGATTCCGGGGCTTAGCGTCCCTGCGGCCTGGTCGTCGACCTGGCCTCCAGGGACCAGATTCACGAAGCAATTACGCAAGCACTTACGAACCTGTACATCTTTTCTCAATCTTTGGTGGCTTTGTTTACAATTATTAATCAGTTAATGAACTCCGAAGCACCAGGAGGCTGTTTATAACAATAACAACAGTTGATTGGCAAGTTTTCATGCTTGTAAACTGTTTAATAAATGTAACCAAAGGCGTCAAAGATTGAGGAAAGATGTACACGTTCGTAAGTGCTTACGTAACTGCTTCGTGAATCTGGCCCCTGGTTCCTGGACTGATCAACCAGGCTGTTGGACGCGGCTGCTCGCAGCCTGACGTATGAGTCACAGCCTGGTTGATCAGGTAAATTATTACCTAAGATATAATGGTTCACATTGTGCACTACTGGGGTGATGGTTCACATTGTGCACTACTGGGGTGATGGGCACTACCGTGGTGATGGTTCACACTGTATACTACTGGGGTGATGGTTCATGGTACGGTATCGACACCTTTGCTTGAGTGTGGAGTGGCGATTTCTGCACCAACTATGGACTGCACTCCAACTCCCCAGTATTTGGTGCAACTCAGACAACGCCATCTGTTGGTGGTGGCGTGACTTCGGTGAAAGGCTTCAGTTTCCTTCCTCAGTCAGAATGTGAGGTCGATGAGGATGACCGCACTCTAGTGGGTGGCGTTTCGAGATCAACGCCATATTGGTTGTGGCTACAAGTTACAATTTCAATTCCCCGGTGTATGGGTGCTATCTTACGGTCACCCAGTATACAGCCTGTCTAGTTAATGACGTTTTGTGTTCACAGAAGTGATGTGAGGAGGCGATTGCTTTGTGGGGGGGGGGGGGGAATTCACCTCGGGCAGTCAAAGAACTCTTAACTTGGTCCTATGAGACACCAAAGTGGCCGCCTTCGGTTATAGCAGTGTGTTTGCTGCTGATTTATGCAGTGTTGTATGGACTGACGTACCCGGGATTGGCCAGGAAGAGTTACGAGACAACAGTGGTGCGCCTGTTGAGAAGTGCTGCTAGTGAGTGACTAGAACCTTCTGACAGGGTACTAACTAACCCCTGTATGTAATTATTTGAGGCCGCTGTCAGTGTGTTGCTGAAACCCTCTTGCAGTGTGTATCTGGAGAGCGAAGGTGGGGTATTGGCACATCGTGACGATATGGTGTGTATGGATTAGTCCAAGTTGAAGAAGGTGAACTCGCCGATGTTTGCCATTAGCTGTTGACGACGTGTATCTGGAAAGTGGATTCACCTGGATTTGATGAACACTGTCGATGTATTGTCCTGAGTGAAAGCGACACTTTATAAATATGTGTAGTAATACTTTAATATAATATATATATAGTGGTGAAGGTGTTAATATATGGGTGCAGGTGTAGTAGTGTATTGTTTACCCCCCCCCCCCCATCCCCAGTTGCCACGGCCAGTTTCTTGAAAACTTACAACCGACGTGGGGTTGGATATAAAGGAAGAGGTTATAACAGCATGAACCTGGGGCCAGATTCACGAAAGCACTTACGCAAGCACTTACGAACGTGAACAACTTTCCTCAATCTTTGACGGCTTTGGTTGCATTTATTAAACAGTTTACAAGCATGAAAACTTCCCATTCAACTGTTGTTATTGTTATAAACAGCCTCCTGGTGCTTCGGAGCTCATTAAATGTTTAATAAATGGAAACAAAGCCGCCAAAGCTTATGAAAAGATGTACAGGTTCGTAAGAGTTTGCGTAAGTGCTTTCGTGAATCTGGCCCCTGGTTACTGGCCCAAAGTGGCCGTAACAATTCACATGGTGCACTACTGGGGTGATGGCTCACATTGTGCATTACTGGGGTGATGGTTCACTTAGTGCGCTACTGGGGTGATGGTTCACTTAGTGCTCTACTGGGGTGATGGTTCACATTGTGCAATTAGTCCTTGGTAATGACTTGTGCGAGTCGATGGTGTTGCCGGACCTCATAGCGGAAGCCGTGCCAGAAGGGCCGCGGTACTGATCGGACACCTGATAGAGTGGACCTGACTAGCATCATAAATGGTGAGTCAGAGGACAGCCAAGTCATTGAGTATCCTGCCTCTGTAGTGACGAGAGCAGAGGTGGCCGACGAGGGAGACACCAGAGAGGATATGACAGTGTCGACGTGGAGATAGCATGGTTGTTTGGTAAAGGTCGTGCTGAAGGTTTGGGAAAGGTCGAGTCGAGCTTATAAAAGGAAGGCAGGGAGAGGTTCTAGGTTTACGGGCTATTCATGGCCGTGCCACCTCTTGGGTGGCTTAATCTTTATCAATCAATCAATCAGGTCAGAGGTGAGGATGACCCTGCCGGAGAGAACTAATGTGAACAGGGTTGGAACTTAGTGGAGCCTAGGCTCCTGCATTTGAGTCAGAAAGTGGAGATAAATGTACCGAACAGAGGTGTAGGAGATAGTGGACAGACTGAGGACGTGAGTAGAGTGCCATGTTGTCCGCAGGAACAGAAGTGTAGGGATGATGAAGTTGCGTTGTGTGAGATGTCAGAAGCTGACACTTCTTCACTGGAAGCGTGAAGAAGAGATAGTGAAGAAAAGTGATAGCCAAGAAGAGGAAATGATAAGGGACAGTACGTGCGGAGAGAGGCCTACTAGCACTCTAGAAGGGGTAGACCGACATGTAAGGTCGAGTGCTGTTGAGTGTAATGCAGTACTTGAGGAAGCCTTGAGGGAACGAGGAAGAGTGGAAGGAGAAGAATTGGAGTTGTGCAGTATCGCGAAACTGGAGAAGAGGAAGACGGTAATACAGCATGGAGAAGAAGATGAAATTCGAAGGCTCGGTGGAAGTCGAAGAAGATGAAGTCTCAGATTAGTGAGGAGACGAAAGAAGGAATCGTCGGTGAAGACGAGAGAGTGAAGCATAAACACAAGAGACAGAAGTATGATGGCGGTAGATGGACGCGTGAGGACAGGAAATGGAGTATGATAATGAGAGACTAAAGTATGATGACGACAGACTGAAGCATGAGGATGATGAACCGAAGTATGAGGACGACAGATGAGATACAGACAATAAATGTCTAACTCTTGACGTGTGGAATGCAAGAAGAAGAAACAGAGGGAGGAAACTGTAAGTAGAGAGGGCTGATGAAGCAAAGGTGTCCGACATGGACAGTCTAGACAAGGTGTGAGAGAAGTTGGGTCACTGAGAGCAAGCTCATATTTCCAACGAGTTGTGAACCAGGTGTTGCAAGGTGCAATGGATTGTGCAGTATACGTCGACGACATTGTGGTATTTCTCTCCTGGAGAGAGCACGTAAGCAGACTAACCTGCGGAACAAATCGGTTAGAGAAGGCCAACATAACAATTAACTTGGCGAAGATTGAGTTTGGGACAGCCCGCTAGAATACCTAGGATATGTGGTAGGGCAAGGTGAGGTTGCTCGAGTGAGAACGAAAGTTGAAGCCATCGGTAACTTCCCGGTACCCAAAGTGAAGAAAGAGTTGTTAAGATACTTAGGTATGATCGGATATTACAGGAAATTTTGTAAGAATTTTTCCACGGTAACCATCCCTATGACAGGTTTGTTGTCTAAGAATAAGAAATGGGAATGGAACGGAATAGCACAGGAGGCGTTTGAGAAAACCAAGAGATTAGGCGCCCTAGGCGACTAGGGCGCCTGAGTTAGTGTCGCCGGATTTTGGAGCACCGTTTGCATTGTTCGTAGATGCCAGTGATGTGGGGGCTGGAGCTGTACTGACACAGCAGAAGGATTAAATTTATCGCCCCGTATCTTTCTTCTCGAAAAAGTTTGTCAAGCATCAGAGATCGTACAATACGGTCGAGAAGGAGACTTTGGCTTCACCCAGTTACTATGTATACAGACCATAATCCCCTGGTGTTCCTGAGCAAGATGAAGCACGCAAATCAGAGGTTAACCAGGTGGTTCTTGTTACTTCAAGAATATAATCTGAAGATAAGGCATATTAGAGGACAAGATAATGTGGTGGCTGATGCGTTGTTACGAGCCTAGCCACTGACATTAACTCTCAAAAATAAGGGGAGGGGGAATGTTATAACCCCCATGGTGGCCAGCGACGTGTCTGGACATGTTCCCAAGTGGACCCACCCAGGATGGGGGAGGACCGTTGTGGCGATGCAATAGTGCTTAAAGAGATGTCGGATGGAGTAGTTTTATTATCCGTGAATACATTTAATTATGCTTAGTCAGGAAAACGTTTATTATGGAATGCTGATGGATTTGCAGGTTTGTGTGGGAGAACTGCAACGTTTGGGTTGGAGAACTACAACGGTTTGTCTGAGAGAACTTCATACCAGAGAAGGAGTGTATACTGAACTCCAAGTGAGAGTTGAAACTCATAGTGGGAGCTGAACTGCAAGGTGGTGCAGGACTTCAAGTTGAGGACTGGAAATTCCAGAAACATAGTGAATCTTCGAGTAGTGTAGGAAGCTACACATCGTTGAGTAAAGCGTTTGGAGAGAGCATCACTGACATTTAAGAAGGACTTCATTGCAGCTGATTGGAGGAACTGCAGAAGTACTTTACAGAATATTTTGAGGACCCAGATGATGATAATATTAGGGGACCTCAAGTAATGGAACAGAGGATCATATGGACCACGATGTTTATGGGAGTGCTTGATTGCGTTTTGGCATGAAAGGCGCAGTGCAAGGTGAGAGATTGATGGTTTCTGTAGAGTAGAAAATAAGTGAATATTTTTATCGTGCCATGTATTGGAGCCTAAAGCTGTGAAGGGAGCAGAAGGTTGTAGGCCGAAGTTTAAGTAGCAGCCTGATACAATTATACGTTTTAGACATAAGGCGATATCGGAGTGTTATCAGTTGATAGCAGCTTAAGAGTTTGTATTGTTTTATAACTTTTCCTGTATGCATATTGTGTATGTAATATTTTATTAAATGTTATTTTTGGTAGCTGGCCTTTGCTCCTGTCCTGGTGAGGCTTCCTGGCTAGAAATAGAGAGAGAAAGACACGGGTATAACGTGGGTGATAGTGGAACATAACTAACTAAGGGGGATTGAAAGATCATCCCACAGTAAGGAGAGTGCAGGAAGTCATGGCGGCTCAAGAGTGGGTGTGTACTCATGACAACTAGGCAGTGTGAGCCGTACCCCTGAATAAAGGTGACGCTGAACGCCTCTCCCAGAATCAGACGCTTACCAGGGTGATCTCCCAAATAATTGCAAGCACTCCAGTGTCCATTGCTGGTCGACCGACGGTAGCAGAAGTGTGGCGGCCGGAGGCGGTCATTTTTCTGTTAGGGAGTGGTTGGGGTGCCTGTTCGACGGTAAGATAGTGTCAGGTTGGTTCAAATAACCAAGTTTCAATGCAACCTCCCCCCCCCCCGATACCAGGCAGATAGCCCGTCACCAATCCTTGTATCTAAAAACGTGAGTATGGACGAACATCTGCTCGTATGTTATTCGTACCACATATGTGACCGTACGAACCAATGTTCCATTCTCTTTTTGTTTTCACAGTGCACACACTATTTTTTTTGTGTATGTGTGTGTGTATGTCAGCCGGCAACCCGTTCTCGCAAATTCGTAAAGTCAATATTGACTTATTAACTACGTGCATAGGTGATATACTAAACATAATAGATATAGTTCACTATGGGAACTTTCACCCCAATAGTGCACCATGGGGAACCTTCACCTCAATAGTGTACCATGGGAACCTTCATCTTTATAGTGCACCATGGGAACCTTCTCCCCAATAGTGCATTATGGGAACCTTCTCCCCAATAGTGCACAATGAGAATCATCCCCCAATAGTGCACCATTGGAACCCTCAAACCATAGTGCACCATGGAAACCCTCACCCAAATAGAGCACCATGGGAACCCTCACCCCAATAGTGCACCATGGAAATCTTCATCCCACTAGTGCACCATGGAAACCATCACCCCATTAGTGAACCGTGGGAACATTCACCATAATGGTGCACCGATGGAACTATCACCCCAATTGTGCACAATTGGAACCCTCACTCCAAAACTGCACCGTAGGAACCCTCACCCCAATAGTGCACAATGGGAACCTTCACTCCAATAGTGCACCATTGGAACCTTCGCCCCAATATTACACCATGGGAACCTTCACCTCAATAGTGCGCCATGGGAACCTACACCTCAATAGTGCACTATGGGAACCTTCTCCCCAATCGTGCACCATGGGAACCCCCACCCTAATAGTGCTTCATTAAAACACTTACCCCATTTGAGCACCATTGGAACCCGCACTCTGATAGTGCACCGTGAGAACGCACCTACCAATACTGCACCGTGGGAGCCTTCACCCTAATAGTTCACCATGGGAACCCTCACCCAATTAGTGCACCGTGGGAACCCTCACCATAATAGTGCACCGTGGGAACCCTCACCATAATGGTGCACCATTGGAACCCTCACTTCAATAGTGCATCGTTTTAACCTTCACCCCAATAGTGCACCAAGGGAACCTTCCCCCTATAGTGCACCATAATAACCCTCGCCCCCAATAGTGCACCATTGGAACCCCTCACCCAAATAGTGCACTATTGTAACCCTTACCCCAATACTGCAAATTGGGATTCCTCACCCCAATAGTGAACCATTGGAACCCCTCACCCAAATATTTCACTACTGGAACCTTCACCCTAATAGGGCACCATGGGAACCTTCGCCTTAATAGTGCACCATGGGAACCTTCTCCCCAATAGTGCACAATGAGAACCTTCCCCCAATAGTGTACCATGGGAACCCTCAAACCATAGTGCACCATGAAAACCCTCACCCCAATAGTGCCCAACGGGAACCTTCACCCCAAAAGTGCACCATGGGAACCCTCACCCCAATAGTGCACCATGGAAACTCTCTCGCCAATAGTGCACCATGGGAACTCTCACCGCAATAGTGCACCATGGGAAACTTCACCCATATAGTGCACCATGTTAACCCCTCACCCCAATAGTCCACCAAAGGAAACCTCACCCCTAAGAGTGCACCATGGGAACCCTCACCTTAATAGTGCACTATGAGAACCCTCACCCCAGTAGTGCACCATGGGAACGCTCACCCCAATAGTGCACCATGGGAACCTTCACCCTGATAGCGTACCTTGGGAACCCTCACCCCAATAGTTCACCATGAAAACCCTCACCCCAACATTGATCAATGGGAACCATCACCCCAATTGTGCACTATGGGAACCCTCACCCCAATAGTACACCATGGGAACCCTCACCCCAATAGTGCACCATGGACACCCTTACGACAATAGTGCATAATGGGAACCCTCACCCCAATAAAGCACAATGAGAACTCTCACCCAAATAGTGTACCAATGGAACCTTCACCCCAAAAGTGCACCATTGGAACCTCACCCTAATAGTGCACCCTGGAAACCTTCATCCCAATGGTGCATAATGGGAGCCCTCACCCCAATAGTGCACCCACAGGAACCCTCACACTAATAGTGCACCATGGTAACCCTCACCCCAATAGTGCACCGTTGGAACTATCACCCCAAATGTGCACCAAATGAACCCTTTCATTAATTGTGCGCAATTGGAACCCCTCACTCCAATAGTTGTTGGAAATTTCCAACAGTTATTCTCATCCCTATTATAACAGGATGTATTTCCTGTATTAAGCGTAATAGTTAACTAGCACTACAAATATGTAGCTTAGTATTGTGGAATTTACTGTATTAGGTTGTGGAACATCATGTAATTTCTCCTTGAATTGTGTAGTGTTGCGTCAGCCACTCACGGAGACTAAATTTCCACGTACCTGTAGATCTAACACAGATGTAAAAAATTACTTTCCTTTATTAGGAATAATAATTAAGTAATAGGTTTACTTTTAGTATCCAACAGTTTACTGAAATTCCTGTACCCAGCTTGATCGCTGTTCCAGTATATAACATCATAATCTAAAATTATTTCCACCACAAAGAGTCTGATTTATTTGTGCAGTTTACATTAACTGACTTGCACTGTGAGAATCAAATATCACCAC